TCCTTCCCCGCGCCGCTGCAACCTCGCCTCGCCTCTCCTCGCCTCGCCCCCCTCGGGCGCCGCGCCGAGAAGCGGCTCGCAGGAGTTGGGCAGCCGGGAACTTCGCGAGCTCGCGGCTGGCGTTGCCCGAGGGCTGCCCGCTCTTCTTTCGCCCTCCCGCTGGGTTCTCCGCCTCCGGTCCTAGCGCCAGGAATCCCCCCTCGAGTTGGGGGAAGGCAAGATGCGGGTCCCGCTGTCTGTGGGGTCTCCGTCCGGCGTTCTGCGTTCCCGGGACGCCCCGAGCCCTAAATCAGGGCCCGCGGGGCGGGCCGAGCCCGCCGAACAGGGTGGGGGAAACGCGGCTGAGTTCGTGGCTGCTCGGTGTGTAGTCGAAACACAGCGATGGTTGCGGCTCGTGGGCGCTTCCCTGTATCCTCCGCGCGGGATGGACCTCAGCCTGCCTCGCAGGCTGTATGGGTTGGGGATGATGGAAGTCGTAGTCAGCGCCTCCGGAGGGCACCAGACTCGGGAACGCGGGTACGAGTTGAACTTTGCTGCGCTTCCCAGAGAGAAAGTAGCAGTTCATTCAGAGGGGTGCGGGCGGTGCGGTCCGCAAAATGAAGATTTGTGGGGACATTCTGCGGTGACCTAAGATTGATTCCTAGAAATGGGGAGCCCGGATTTTGTATGAATCTGGGGAGGAAACTTTTGTAAATCTTGAGAGGAGCAACAACTTTCCTTTAAAAAGCGAGAGTCTTCTCCCTGCTTAAGCAAGATGAGTAAGGGCAACAGCAGAGACGGAATTACCGAGAAAACCCAAGTTTATTGGAAATACTGGCATGGCAGAAATGATTTCTGGCATTCCCCTAGTAATAGTGATACAGTTTTCACTTTTATGGCCTGAATTTATTTATTTATTTATTTATTTATTTATTCATTTATTTATTTATTTATTATGCCCATCTCCCCCAACGTTGCAGTGACATTAGTAGTTCCTACTTTTATTTGGGTAATAAAAGGTTAATTGCCTTTTCATCCTCTCTTCTTTCCAAGAATCTCTAGGCAAGTTACAAAGTCCTTGCATATTTACTGCACATCAACCCTGAGAGGTAGGCCAGGCTCAGCATGACTATTCTAAGGTCATTTGGCAGGTGTCATGGTTAAGTGGGGATTCTCCATGGCTTTCCCCCAGCCTGCTCCTCGACAGGTATTTTGACACGGAACTCACACTCTCTTTAGCCAGGATAGTGGTCTTCTTGGCTGTGGATGATGTGATTGTAGTCCCAATGTAAATAGAGGGTTTCTCTTCTGATCATTAGACAGTACTGGCCAGTTAGAGAATTGGGGAATGGTAGAGCCTAAAAGCAAAATTTGAAGTTACTTTTAATAAGCCCCTGATCATTTTGCATCAGTTATTCTGAGACGGTTCTCGTCCTTTGGGTCAGTAGTAAGATATAGCTGAGGCTTCATTTCCTTGGCCTGATTTACACAGGGTGCTAAATCCTCAGTTATTTAACTACGGTTTATTAATTAAACCAGTCTTCCCTGTTCGTACATCATAGTGAGTAAACACGAACGCACATTATGGCTTCATACAGTGGGTAAACCCAGCCGATATCCTGTCCAAGCGTTGACCTTCAGATTTAGTAAGATTGCTGTATCAACAATCCAGATTCTGAAATGATGGCACTTATTTAAGAGTGGTGTGAGCAGAGAGTTTCTTTTTTCATTGCCATCCTCTACAAATTGAATTTTTGCTCCCTGCCCTGTTTTTATTGGCTGCTGAACAGCCTAAATAGCATATTAAGTGATCTTGAATTTAATGAAATGCTGTTTTCACACTTCCATTTTTAATTTCCATCATTTAGCTTGCACCCTGTTGGGCTTCACATAATCGAACCTCAAGAAGGGCTGTACTCATATTCCTGACCCCCATGCTAGAATACAAGTAAAATAAAACCCACATTTTACTTATGGATATGTAAAAATGTAGGCAGAGGCTCCTACACAATATTTGTATGACATGAGTAGAATTTTTGCACCCAAAGCAGTTGTATGCTTGCCTTCTGTGGTTGGATGAGCCTTATTTCAAGCTGAATTCACAGCTTGAATTAAGCCATAGTTTGTTTAATCATTGTTTTTTTTCCCAATAAACTCCTGCGGTTTATCTTTGTCTTTTTTTCCAGAACGTTCCAAACCAAGCAATGGGGTATAATTGCTTGCCCATTTTGTTCCTTAAGAATGCTTATAGGACATATATGGAGTCAATAAATATTTATCCATTTGTTACATTTATTTTCCTCCGTTAATTCCTGCCTTTTCTCCAAGGCACAATGGAAAAAATAAAATTAAAAAGTTTTTTCCTTCTAATATTTTTTCCTGCAACAACAACCCTGTGGAGTAGATTGTGCTAAGAGGGAGTGACTGGGTGAAAATGAACTTCCATTGCTCATGTTCAGCTTGAACATCCAGATTCCAGCCTAACATCTTAACTCTACATCAAACTGAACCTATGGTGAAGTGCTAGAACAAGGCTGAACAAACCTTGATCTGCGTGAGACCTATGGTGTGGATTGACCAAATCATTTTGATCTGGGGCCTCGGTGTTTTTTTCTAAGGATCAAAATGTTAGGTTAAGGCTCTGCATCCTTTTTGGCCTTTAAACACCTAGTAATCCCCAGCGGACCAGAAATGTTGGACCTGCCCACTCCAGCGACATCATAACATCACTAGCTACAACCACTGTTTACTTTGGAGGTCCAAACCATTCAAAGTAAGGTTGCCTGCCGCTCCCTAGAAGTTGGTGTTTTGGGTTACATCTTTCAATGTATTAGTTAAAAAAGATAATGTACATCTCAAAATCAAGTCAAGTGGGACCAGATGCCTAACAGAGCTCTAGTTATGAGCAGAATGTTGTCTACATCTGGCTTAATCCTATCTGGGTGCCATCTAAGGTGGACATTATAAATTCCTTATGGAACTGATTAGCATAAATGAATCATGTGCTATGCAAAAAAATGGTTCCTTTTCTCCTTCCTAACTCTCCTTAGTTGCCTTCATTGGAGTATCTTCCATTTGTTCCATTCAGCTCAGATTAATGGTTGGGTTGCCATAGGTTTCTGATGTTCAATTAGGGTATGGTAGAAGTTGAAAAAGCTTTGAGCTAAAGTGATTTCTGCTTTTTCATTGCTGGTGACAAAGCTGTTAATTAGAATGTGTCCTTTTAAAAAAAAAATCCTCTTATAAAACAGTTGCATTATCTGACCATTGTTTTAAGTACTTCGTACAGATTAAACCTGGAGTACTTTCAAGACAGAATACTGTTGTTAAGCTTTAAGAATTAAACTCCTTAGAATTTTGGGGTTGTTGTAAGTAGAAAAAGAAAAAGAACAGAAAAATTCATAGAGAAGAATATTAAGAGAACAAAGTGAAGCTCTAATAATTGGCCAGATAATCCATTTTGAATGTGAATGAAGAATGAGCTCTGAGACAAAATTTGGCAGTTTGTAGGGAACATAAATTGTGTATTAAGCCAAATTTAATTTATACTGTTTTCACCCTTTGTTCTGAGTTGATAGTTACCTGCAAAACCAAATCTTATTGTGATCCTTCCTTTTTGTGTAACTTATTGATTTTTTATCAGTAAGGGGGAACAATTCAAAATACAGGGAGGCTAATGATTTTAAAGATCCAACTAATCAAAATCGTATACAAAAAATTATTGGCTTTATGCATTTTGGTAAACCAGGGATAGGTAATACATTTGTAATGGCCACATTTAATGACTTGGGGGACAATGATGAGCAAAGCAGGCAGGACATTGTCACATGTGGGTAGAGCTGTGAAATTTTGTATTTTAGAACTTACATTGCAGTGTTGTGTTTTCTGCCTCAATATGGTGAGAAACCAAATGGATGATTTTCAGCAATTGTGAATGGGGGTGGCCCAAAATGCTACCAAAAAAAAATGGTTTAGGAGCTGTAGGAATCCCTGGGACCTCACATTTTCCTCTGGTTGCTAAACTAAGGTTTGTTAAACAAGCCACCATAACCCAAGCTCACAATTGCACTCATAAACCATGGTGTGTAAACCATGGTGATGGATTCATATAACACATGCCAAAAGCAAATAAATCATGTTATAACTTAGTATGTTATATGAATCTTCCTTGGATAGTATGTACAGTTATGGTTGATTCATGGGGAAGCCATCAGAAATCTTTGGCCGTTTAGACCCGCAAATGTCCTGGTGGTCCCTAATCTCTGAGAACAGATTCCATCTGTACTAGATCTTTTATGTGGGCTGATGATGATAACTACTGGGAAAGCCAATACTCATTCATACTTGTCAGTCTAGAAAAGAAAACTGCTTTGTTTATAGAGCAGAATCATCTTGCACAGTTGGCGTCCCACCAGCCCCAACATCATTCAATAACTATTATCAAATGCTTCCTCTCTCTGCTGCAAAAAGATGCTGCATTCAGTTGGGTGGGCTGGGGTCCTAAACTGTAAAAATTATCCTATGGTTTAAAAATTGTGTGGTGGCAACCATGGTCTTAAGGGAGTTGTAGTCCAGATCAACTACAGGACACATGTTTCATCCTTAGTTCAACCTAAGCAGGACCTGGTCCTCTCGCAGCACAATTTGTAAGCAAAACAAGAAACCTAGCAGTAGATAGAGAAGATTGCTCTCAGTTTAAAGTATTAGCACCTAAAGATTTTTTAAAGGTAAGTTTATTATACTAATAATAAGGGTTTTTTGTTTTTTTGGTGCCTTTGAGTCAGTGTTGACTCCTGGCGACTGCCTAGACAAGTCCCTGCAGTTTTCTTGGCAAGATTTTTCAGAAGTGGTTTGCCATTGCCTCCTTCCTGGGGCTGAGAGAGAATGACTGGCCCAAGGTCACCCAGCTGACTTCAT